GGAGGGAGGAGGGAGGAGGAGGAGGAGGAGGCAGGGAGGAGGCCGGGAGGCGAGGAGGGGGAGGGGGGAGGGGGACGGGGAGGGAGGGGGGAGAGGGCAAGGGAGGGGGAGAGGGAGGATGAGGAGAAAGGGGGAGGGGGAGGGGAGGAGGCGGAGAGGCGGAGGAGGAGGCGGAGGAGGAGGAGGAGAGAGCGAGGAGGAGGGCAAAACGCTTGACAAGGCCCGGTGATGGCCAGTCAACCCCAAAATGGAGGATGAGGAGGAGAAGGAGGAGGAAGAGGAGAGGAGGAGGAGGAGAAATGGGGGAGGGGAAGGAGGAAAGGGAAACGGGGAGAAGAGGAGGTGTCGGGGAGGGGAGGGGAGGAGGGGAGCGAGGAGGGGGAGGGGGAGGAGGGGAGGAGGGAGAGGAGGGGAGGAGGGGAGGAGGGGAGGAGGGGGAGGGAGGCGGGAGGTGGAAGGGAAGGGGGAGGGGAGAGGGAGAAGGAGGAGGGTGAGGCGGAAGGGGGGGGGGGAGGAGGAGGAGGATGTGGAAGGAGGAGGAGGAGGAGGAGGAGGGAGGAGAGGAGGCGGCGGAGGGGAGGAGGAGGAGGAGGAGGAGGAGGAGGAGGCGGAAGGAGGAGGAGGAGGAGGAGGAGGAGGAGGACACCACGCTGCGAATCGCACCGATTGCCCGATGGAGTCCCTTCAACCCAAAAAAAAGGGGAGGAGAAGGCGGAGGAGGAGGAGGAGGAAGAGGAAATAGGAGAAGAACGCAGGAGGAGGAGGAAGGGAGGAGGAGGAGGAGGATGAGGAGGTGGGGGGGGACCAAGGGAGGAGAAGGAGGAGGAGGAGGAGGAGAAGAGGAGGAGGAGGAGGAGGAGGAGGAGGAGGAGGAGGAGAGAAAGAGCTGCAAACAACTCCTGGAGGAGGAGGAGGAGCAGAAGCAGCAGGAGGAGGAAACGTAGGAGGAGAAGTAGGAGGTGGAGGAGGAGGTGGAGAAGGAGGAGGAGGAGGAGGAGGGGGAGGAGGAGGAGGAGGAAGACAGAAGGACGAGCAGAAGGTGGAGGAGGGTGAGGAAGGGCATGGGGGAGCGGGAGGAGCAGGCGGGGGAGGGGTCTGTCTGCGTCGGCGACGGCGCCCCAATCAAGGAGGCCAGGGCCTGCTGGGAGATCCGCAACTTCTCCCTCGTGGAGAAGGCCAAGGGGCGGCCCCACTACTCCGGGCCCCTCGTCGAGGCGGCGGGCGCGCGCTTCGGGATCCGGGCCGTGCCGGGAGCTCGGCAGCCTCGGCGCGGGCCGCTGGGTTTTCTCGCGGGCGGCGGCGGCGGCGGCGGGGTACGTTGGGTTTTCGCGCGAGTGCCCTGCGCTCCGCGCGAGTGCCCTTCTCAGAGGGGGCGCGGCGCGAAGGCGCGAAGAGCTCAGCGGCGCTGGGCTCGTGGCGCCCGTCTCGGGGGCGCAGCGCGAGGGCGCCAGGCCGCGAGGGCACGCGCTGGTTGCTGGAAGTGCGCACGTTTGGGTTCCCAGGTCCCGGTCTCCTTCAGGCAATCGACGAGTTTCCCTTCTCCTTCATCCCAGACCCCCTTGAGTCATGAAGGGGTCACGACGGGAGGTTTTTCGCTGTCTTCGGCCCCCGGGGGCCCTTGCGGGGCCGCGGGGCCGTCAAACAACGGTTCGGGATGAAAAAGCCCGTTCCGGGGAAGGGGTCGAGACCTCTGGGGGTCGGCGCTGCGAACAAATCGCGACGTCGGGGGCCTGCTGGTGGGCGGGCGGAAACCCAGCCTGCCTCCAACGCCTTCCTGCGCCGTGCTTCTGCTCACGTCTTCCGACCGCGGGGCCACCGCGCGCGGCGGGGCGCGGGTTCGCGCCGTGCGCTCTCCGGTCGGCCCATGGGCTCGGGACTCCTCGCGGCGCACCCCGGGCTGGCCTCGTCTGCTCGCGGCGTCGAACGCCAGGGCCCGACCGCTGCCCCGGGCCGGGGCGGGGCCGGGGCCACTGCGAGAGCCGCCGCGGCTGCGGCTTTGCCGCGCCGGCGGGCGGCATCGCATCGCGACGGCGGCGGGCGCGCGGGCAGCTCGGACAGCGCGGAGCCCGGTGCAGTCACGAGATGGGGAGCGCGAGCATTCGATCCCGCGGTCCAGAGATCCAGGAGAAGGAGGAGGAGGTGGTGGAGGAATCGATCCGATCTGGGTGGGGCTGAGGCTGGTGCACCACAGGATTATTGGTATCCCCTGCCCCCTCCCCCTCGGTGAGCCTCCCCCACAGCCTCGCTAAAACCCCCCGACCTCCAACATCTTCCCCCCTGCTACCCTCAGCGTCTCATCGCCTTCCCCCCTCACCTCCTCCTGGAAAGCCCCAGAGCGTCCTGAGAGCCCCAGAGAACCACCCCAGCCTCCCCCAAAACCTCTCTCCTGCTCCCCCCTGCCTTCCTCACTCCCTCCGTCCCTCCCCCCTGCCTCCTGCTCGCCGAGGTGGGGAGGGAAAGAGGACGGCCAAGACATTCCCCGGTGCGGACTGTACTGCGTGCGGGAGGGCGAGACCGACACGTCTTTGGAGCCAGTGAAGGTGCTGGTAGGGAATAGAGCGAAAGAGGACAATGCTTTCCCTGTAATTACCTGTCGTCATCTTCGTCATCGTCGTCAGCCTCATCCACCTTCTCCTCGTCCACCTCCTCCTCGTCCGCCTCCCTCCTCTTTTCACTATCTTCCTCCTGCTCTCTCCTCGCAGGCATATCAAGCCTACACAGAGAGGAAGACGAGACACGCCAAGCCCCCCCCCCCCCCGAAGTGTCTTGCCTGTACAGTTCCCCGCCCGGCCTCGTCCGCGCGCAGGGCTTGCCTTGAGACTGTCCAGCCTCCGCACGACCTTGGAGGAGGAGGGGGAGCACGAGAAGGAGGGGGAGGAGGAGGAAGAGGAGGAGGAGGAGGAGGAGAAGGAGGAGGAGGAGGAGGAGAAGGAGGAGGGAGGAGGAGGGAGGAGGGAGGAGGAGGAGGAGGAGGAGGAGGAGGAGGAGGAGGAGGAGGAGGAGGAGGGGAGGAGGAGGAGGAGGAGGAGGAGGAGGAGGAGGAGGAGGGGAGGAGGAGGAGGAGGAGGGAGGAGGAAGGAGGAGGAGGAGGAGGAGGAGGAGGAGGAGGAGGAGGAGGAGGAGGAGGAGGAGGAGGAGGAGGAGGAGGAGGAGGAGGAGGAGGAGGAGGAGGAGGAGGAGGAGGAGGAGGAGGAGGAGGAGGAGGAGGAGGAGGAGGAGGAGGAGGAGGAGGAGGAGGAGGAGGAGGAGGAGGAGGGGGAGGAGGGGGAGGAGGGGGAGGAGGAGGAGGAGGAGGAGGAGGAGGAGGAGGAGGAGGAGGAGGAGGAGGAGAAATGTAGAAAATGACCTGTCGGCGGGAGGTCCAGAGGTGCCAGGGTGCGCCGAGCTCCACGTTACCCGTCGTCCCTGGCAGGAGCCCCTCTCCGCAGTCCCCGCAGTCGGCGGCAAAGTCCGAACCCTACATACCTTCGCCGATTAACGATCCAGGCATCTCGACGGGCGGCGGGGACAGGGTTCGGAATTCGTCGAACACGTGGCGGACTCCGAGCCCTACCCCGTGTCTCCCATCGATTCAGGAGAATCGTTGATTGGTGGTGCAGGGTTCGGATGTCGCCACCAACGTACGTCAGGATTGACGATAGACCTGCACGGAGGCGCACTGCACGGCTCGCCACGATGGCACCGCACGCCTCATAGGAGAGCAGGCGCGCTTGTCGCCGACGCTGCCGCAACCAAGACGGCATGCATGTAGCATGGCCTTCTCGCGGCAACCAGCACCTCTTGGAAGGGCGCCAACAGCGAGGAGCGTCGTTCGAAAGCTCGGCGAGGGCTGCGAAAGCCGTGGCTGCTAAAGCGCCCCCCCCGGAAGGAACAACAAAAAAAAGCTTCCCAGAACGAGGCGCGGCGCGCGAAACAGTCCACGGGCTTCTTTACTGGAAGGACGACGACTTCCCGGAGGTCGATTTCAGCAGCCGCGGATTCGGCAGCCCTTGCCCGGCTCCCGAGTCGTGCCGCGGCCGGGGGTCGGGCCCCAGGCCTGCCGCTGCTGGGCTCGGGAGGGCCTCGGGGCTTCGCGCGCTGTCTCGTCGCGCATGCCGCGGAGCCTGCCCGTGGTGCAGGCCCGCCGTGGCCAGAACGGCCCCCCTATCGTTCCCTATTGTGCGCTCTTCTCGGCAGCGCGAGGGCTGCACAGTCGGGGCCCTGAGGAAGGAACGCTTTTCGTTGGGGAGGGGCTCGGTGCTCCTTGATTGTTTCGCAGTTTGCCTCGGGTTTTCCTCAGGGCTTCCATGGGGAATCAAAACTTATCTCATGGGAAGAAGGGGCCTCGTTCCTTATTTAGGGTTCCTTAGGTCAACGCCCCGACTGTATGGCACGCCGGGTTCTCCCCCCCTCTTTGTTAATTCAGGTTTCGCCGCGGCCCGCCTAGCTTCGACCGGAAGAGGTGCGCTCTCGACCCGCGAATTAAAAAAAACGTATGGCACGCCGCGCGCCTCCAGCTCTCCGCATCACAGCAATGCTCCCCCCCCCACCCTAAGGGAACTCGGGGAGCACGCTGGAGGGTCCGCGGATCTCGCGGGTGGGAGGCCACGGCTCAAGACTGGACAGCAAGGCAGCACGCGACTCGGGCCCTTCTCGGGCCAGTCGTTGGCCAGGGCCCCTTCGCGGGCCCTCTGATCGGCGGCGCGATTCCACAGGACATACAGCCCCTCGGCTTCAGAGGACGCATGCTCACGGGCTGCCACCAGTCTGCGCGTGACGCGCCCGTGCTTTCTCCTTCCGTGCTCTGTTGTTCCTCATTACTATCAGCCCGCTCTTTTTTTTTTCGCAGCATCAAGTCAAGTATTACGGCAAGCTTGCGACATCTCCCTCGTCGCCACGCAGAAGAGGTCGACCACGAGTACACTGGACAGCGTACGTGCACGCCCGGGCTCTGAGCGCGGCGGGGGACAATCCGGAACGCTTGCAGCGCTTGTTGCGCTCCCCACAATGGGAAGTCGCAGTCGATCAGTACATACAGAAATTGTAACGTGTAGCAGCTTTCGCCTTCTGCGCTTCCTGTTGGTCGTTTGAGGTGGCTTCGATGATACATGCTCACCCTATGTTTGTATCATTTCCGGGGCCTCCCTCCCTCCCCTCCTCCCTCCCTCCTTCCCTCCCTCCCTCCCTCCGCCTCCCCAGAAAGCCGCGCAGGTTTCCCTCGCGCTTCGCTGGCACAAAGAATACAACGACCAAACCGAGGCACTGCACGGTTGTTCACACGCATACTCTTTGTACGCCACCACGAAATGTACACTACGAGCTGCCGAATCATCTGCCGATGCGCCGTCTAGGCGCGGCCTTGTCCTGTCCTGTCATCCCTTCCATTCTGCATGATCTGTCATCTCTCCTTCTCCTCGTCCACATCCCTCTCCTTTCTGTTTGTCCTCTTCTTCTCTGTTGTTTGACCTCGTCTTTTTGTCCTCCCTTCTGTTCAGCGCGATCTCATAGCCGAGCCCATGGCGTACACTTGCCGAGTACACATCCCCGTCACCCCATCATCCTCACTATCTCCTCTCCTCTCTTCTCCTCGTCCACCTCATCCAGCTCCGATCCCTCATCCCTTCTTGGGAGATGGTGATCGAAATGGTTCTTGGATCTTCCTGAGCCGCCTTAGAGCTGCGCATCGTTAAGAAAAGCAGTCGCTGGAACCCTCCTGATTGAGCCCCGATGAGGCCCGAAGAAGGAACGGAGGAAGGAGGAGGAGGAGGAGGGAGGAGGAGGAGGAGGAGGAGGAGGAGGAGGAGGAGGAGGCCACTGCGCGGGAGCGCGCGGGGGAGGGAGATGAGGAATGATGATGTTGATGCTGATGCTGATGTTGCTGATGATGATGACGATGATGATGATGATGCTGATGCTGATGCTGATGATGTGGTGATATGATGGTGTGGTGAACTGATGATGATGATGATGATGATGATGATGATGATGATGATGATGCTGCTGCTGCTGATGCTGATGCTGATGCTGATGCTGATGCTGATGCTGATGCTGATGCTGATGCTGATGCTGATGCTGATGCTGAAGCTGCTGTTGATGATGACGAGGAGGAGGAGGAGGAGGAAGAGGAAGAAGGAGGAGGAGGAGCAGGAAGAGGAAGAAGGAGGAGGAACCAGGATTGATACAGGTGGAAGGAGGGATCAAGGGGAGCAGGAGGACGACGAAGCGGTGGTGGTTGGCTGGAAAGGCGGGCCAGCGGCGCGAGAATAGCTCATCATCGGAGGGCTGCGACTCATTGTCCCTGCCCTCCAGAGCAGTGCGCTGTCCCACGCCGACGCCAAAGGGAGGCAAGCACCGACGCCTGAGGGGGGGGGCAAAGCCTGGGACCCAGCCGGTAGCACGAGGAGACAGAGGTCAGTCAGTCAGTGGGCCGTGCATCCTGAGGACACGTAGGCAAAAGAGCACATGAAAAGTTAGGGTGGTGCGCCAAACACACACACACACACGCGAGTCACAAACTTGCGAATACTTCGTCTGCCCATTGTTGTCCTGGCCGGCCTCTGCGACGGCGGTTGGCCCGCTGGAACGGCAGGCCTGGGCACGATCGGCCTCTCGAGCTCGGCCCTGCGCAGACTCCACGGGCCAGGAGGACTGCGCGCGCGCCGGCGACGTGGCCGAAGCCCAATCATGAGGGTGTTTTTTCTCTCCGAGGAGGAGGAGGAGGAGGAGGAGAAGCGAGGAGGAGGAGGAGCGAGGAGGAGCGAGAAGGAGCAAGGAGGAGCGAGGAGGAGCGAGGAGGAGGAGGAGGAGGAGCGAGAAGGAGCGAGGAGGAGGAGGAGGAGGAGGAGGAGGAGGAGGAGGAGGGTCGAAGCCCAATCATGAGGGTATTTTTGTTTCTCTCCGAGTTCGACTTAGCTGGGACTCGATGCCTGCCGTCGCAGGCTGGCCACTGCACCGCTCGCTCACCAGGGGGGCCCGGATGGCAGTTCGAGCCGCGGGCCCCGCAGCCGATGCAGGGAGCCGTGGAGGACCCCATCGCGCGAGGGAGTCCCGGTGGCCTATCTGACAGTGCCGTTTCCGCGGGCATGAAAAGCCCAGTGTTTTGGTCCTTCCAAGCTTCATCGGTGTGCACCTGCGCCGCCAAGACTCCCGACGACGACGGCTCATGACCCACCTCCTCCACTGGCGGGGCGGGCTCCTGAGCCGCCAGCTCAGCCTCCCGCAACTCGCTTGGGTTCGCGGCACCATCGGCAGCGCCAGCGGAACCATACATCGGCGAGCGCCTTGCAGCCTCGAAGCAGCTCTGCATGCTCAGCCGAAATGCAGTGCATCATGGCGCCAGCCTTCGCAGAAGTAGTGCACAAGTGTCATAGGACTGATTTGCCCTGCGCTCCCACCACGTTGAGCGGCCTGCGTCGATGTCGGTCGCCGTGGCATGAGCAAGAGTCTCGAAAGCCTGGATCTCCGCATTTTCAGACGAGTCCAAGCACGGGCCCCACATGGGGGCCCTCGGAGACCCACCAGAGACCCCAGATCCAGGCCCTCTTCCTCTTCCTCTTTCTCCCCGGAGAAGAACAGCCCTCGGTAGTAGAGCTCGAAAGGCCCCATCCTTGAAAAAGTAAGCATGTGGATCGCGAAATCCTCACCATCCCTCGAAGCTAGGAGATGACCAACACAGAGCGGCACCGGACATTTATACCGCATGCAGAACACATTTCAGGACCTTTCTACTTTCACCAAGGCCCACTCAGCTTGGGAGATTCTTGCTATGCTGCGCCACATGGCCGAGCCTTTGCTAAAGATGACGCCCGAGAGAAGGAGGACGATGAGGAGGAGGGGGAAGAGGAGGAGAAGCGGGAGGCCGGCCGATCGTGCCTTTCTCCGCCATCATTCTTGCCGCGGTTGGCATTGCCGTGGATGGAGGAAGAGGAGGAGGAGGAGGAGGAGGAGGAGGAGGAGGAGGAGGAGGAGGAGGGGGATGAGGACGGTGAGGCGCATGTCATTGCAAGTATTTGGCTGGTCCCCTTCTGGTCCCCTTCGAAGGCGCTTGTCGCCATCACCCTCGTGGGCTCCAGGACCAACATCACCCGGCAGTCCAGATCCGCCGGGGAGTTCAAGGCCTGGGAGACATTAAGTCTTCCAATCGTCCTCCTGGAGGACGAGCGGGTCAAGGAAGAAGAGGAAGAGAGGAGCAAGATGAGGAGGAGGAGCAGGAGGATGCCATTCCTCACCCCCCCCCGTCCAGCCTCCCCTCTCTCCTCCCCGCTCCTTCCACGCTCCCTCCTGCTGCCCCTGCCCCCTTGTCTCCCCGCTCCCCTCCTATCTTCTCCCGTGCGGCCGCCCGCCTGGGAGGGGGGGGGGGAGCTTGTGGAGAGGGGGAAGGCCCGCGGACTCGAGTTCCCCAAGCTTGGGCGGGCGGCCCGCGCTGCTCTGCCTCGGAACGTCCGTTCGGGGGTGCCGCCGCCTGGCCGTCTTGCGCGCAGGCCGTCAGCGCATAAAAGGCGGGTGAGGTGCCTGGATCTTCCGGCTGGTATGCAGTCAGCCCGCAAGGGTACCCCTTGCATCCTTGCCTTCTCGGCCCATCCTTGGCCGCGTTCATTGGCCGCGGCCCGCTCGAGAAGTTTCGAAATAGGCGTCCAAGGCCCTTGCATCCTTATCGCGCATCCTTACTATACGGGTTGACTGTAATCGGTGTTCCGTTGGCTGACCGTCTTGGTCCTGCGCCCTTTCCCTCCTTGCGGGGGGGAAAAAGAAGGGGAGAAGGGGGGAATGGGGGCTGGCTCTGCTGCGTAGGAAGGAGGACGACGCGGATGAGGAGGGAGGGGGGGAGGGAGGGATGAGGAGGGATGGAGGGAGGGAGGAAGGGGAGGGAGGGGGATGGGGCAGCGGCGGGCGGGTCGTCGTCGCATTCGCACGCGTATGCGTCGTCGTCGTCGTTGTCGTCGTCGTCGTTCTCGTCGTCGTCGTCGTCGTCGTCCTCGTTGTATTCGTCGTCGTCGTCGTCGTCGTGACAGCGGTCGTCCTCGCACCCCTTGTCGCCTTCGTCGCCGTGCTTTTCGTCGCCGCCGTCGACCTCGTCGTCTCCGCCGTGTCGTCCTCGTCGTCGGCGTCGCCGTCGTCGCGTGCCGCCTCCGCCGGCGGAGCAGAATCGGGAGCAGTGTTAAGTCGGGCCTGTCCCTCTACAGGGGGGAGCAGTCAAAGCTAGCCAACAAAATAGTCTGAGGGCGATGTTTCGATTATTTTTGTTTGACCCTTTGGGGGTATTTTTTGGGGGTATGTTTCATGTTTCGCCCCAGATCCCCCCGTAGGGGGACTCGCCCGACCTAAGAGTAGTGTTGTTTGTGTGTTCTCCGCTCTCTGCGCTGCCACTTCACCCGGGACACGGGACGGTACGGTTGCCGCTCCCCCATGCGTTGCCACGCGGTGAGGGGAGCTTCCCACGGGCTGCTCGCCTTTTCCGGGGCTTCCATGTGATTCGCCAAATGGCCTTTGGTTTGTTGCCGCCCTCTTCTGGCGTCGCGCGGCGAGGACGAGTCCAGTCCTCGATCGCGGACATCCGAACGATTTCATGAATGCCCCGACGGGCCCCCGAGAATTCTGGGGTTTGGGGGGATCCGTATTACCGAATGAAAGGGTGGAGTGGGGGGCAAGATGGTGGGCTTCGGGCGCTTTGTGAGTAGCATGTAGTGGTATGGCTACCGCCCCCCTACGTGGCCACGTGGCGACTAGACGGGACCTGGGGATAGGGTGAAAGTATCGCGTGCGAAGCAAAGTCACCTGACTACAGCAAACGAGGATCGCTGAGCCTGCGTGGCCTGCTCCTTGGCTGTGATCCTCTGGATGAGGCCTCCATCCAGTATCAAAACTCGGAGTGGATCCCGATTAAGGATGTCTGGACTCCCGCCGGCCTGCGAGCCGCAGCCCCTGACCCAAGCCAAAGGGAAATCAAGCCTCTGATGGCCGCGCCCGGCCGCCTTCGCGGTTGGGCGCGTGCAAGGCGACGACGTTGCAACGCAGAGAGAAGACAGGAGGGGGAAGAGGAGGAGGAGGAGGAGGAGGAGGAGGACGAGGACAACGGGGGAAACGACCGTTGCGCACACCGCGCGGCGAAAACACACGGGGCGAGGACGCGGCCGCGGGGTGTGAGCCACCAGACCCCGCCCTTCTGCGCGCGCGCCCACGCTTTACACGGAGAGAGGCCAGGAGGAGGAGGAGGAGGAGGCGGAGGAGGAGAGGGGAGGAGAAGGACAAAGGGGGGGAGAAGAGAAACGACACGGCGAGCAGACGCCACCATGCAGGAGGAGAGGAGGGAGGCAAAGGCAACAGCAGGCAAGCGCGCACGCTGAGGGCGGGCGGGGTGGGGGGCGGGGGTAGTCGGCAGCAGTCGGGGGGTCGTCGTGGGTCGGTGGTCGTTGGGGTCGTCGTGGGTCTGGGACTCTGGGGGCCGCCGCAGCAGGGCCCGCCGAGAGGCACGCGGGGCGGGCGGGGTCGTCGGCGGAGGCGGAGGCGGGCAGGTGGCCCCCGGTGGCTGCAGTGTGCACGGCATCCGGCGTAGTGGCTGCCGTGGCCGCGGCCAGGCGCGCGGCCGTCGCGCCCGCGCACGGCTCGAGGCGTCGCAGCACCGCCCGCGCCCTTTTCCCTGCGCAGGGACATTGAAGATCGCTGGGCAAACTGCGCTGGTCAGCCGCGAAGGCGCGTCGCGTCTCGCGGCCCCAGCCGCCGCCGTGGGCATCGCATGCCATTGGTATGAACGTCAAGCGGGCCTCTGAGCATTTGCGCGTTGTGTCCAGGTGCAGGCGGTTTTGCTCCTCGTAGCGGGTCGCCGCCGCGTCGCCGCCGCTTTCCGCGGCCGAACTCGCGTGCATGTCCGCGCGGAGGCCCGAGGTCACGGCGAGGTCCCACGCCGCCTGCGTGCCGCTTCGCCACCGCGGAACGAAACGTCCGCGGGGCGCTCCCCGTTGCCGCCCAGGTCCCCGCCGGCTTCCCCAGCTGGGGAGCCCTCGCCAGGCGCGCGCGCGGCGGCGGCATATCCAAGCGCTCGAGTTCTGCCCGGCGCGGCTGGCGGCCACAGCCTCGCGGCAGGCCTGGTACGGGAGGCAGTTGTGACGTTTCGTGCGGTCGCCGCGGCAGCTGCAGGTGAGCGCGTGGTTCGCCAACGCGTCCATCACTTCTCCGCGCGCTGGGCAGAAGGCCTCCTCGTCGAGCAGCTGGTGTCGAAGGCGGCGTTGCTGCGCCATCTGCATCGGGCTGCGCTGGAAGTCGGTGCCAAGGGCCCAGCACAGGGGCGCCTGCAGGAAGGCGCCGGCGCCTGGGGCCGCCACCACCACGTTGAGGTGGGCTCTCGTGGCTGGCGAAGCGCGCTGCCAGAGCTTGTCGCGAACGGCGTCGTCCACCTTCTCGGAGAGGAGCGGCTGGCCCCAGCGCTGGGCGGGGTCGAACTCGACGCGGTCCGCCGGCAGGAGTGCGTCGTTGAATGCTTGCGTCGCCACCGCCCGGCTGCCCCCGCCCCTGCCGTCGGCGTCGTCGCAGGCGGCGCAGAGTTGTCGGCAGAGTTCGGCGCCGCGGGCGCGCGAGGCAAGGTGAGCGGCCGCGGCGCGCTTCTCGGAGGAGCGGGGCCCGAGCCCGCCTCGGTTGAGTTTGAGCTGCGCTTGTTTCCGAGAGCCCCCTGAGCCGGGAGACCCGCTGAGTTGCTCCAGGCAGGCGCGGGCGGCGGAATCCACGGCCTGCAGGCCGCCGGCGCGCGCCGTCGGCGGGGCCGCGCGCGCAGAGTCGCCCTGCTTGCGAAAGGAGGCGCCGACGGAGCAGATGCACGGCCCGTCGAGAGTTATCCAGCAAATTAGCAGGCTTGGCCCATCAGTCCAGGGTGCGACTTTAGCAGAAACAGTCGCCCCCCACAAGGGCCCCCGAGAGTGCGAAACGCTTGTGTTTCCGAAGACGGGAACCCCGCGGAAACGCGGCCAATTCCACGTCGTTGTCGGCACCGCCGGCGGGAACCACCTCGTCCAGCGCCGAGGTCCATGCCCGCCGCGGCCAAGCGCCCCGCGACGGTGCAAGTGGCGGGCCACTGTCGGAGCGTCAATGCAATGTCCAGGGGGCCGTCGGCTGGGTCGGTCGGTTCGGAGCGCGCTTGTTCCGCGCCGCGCTGCAGGGCGAGCGCGGAAAGCAGCGGGCCGAGCGGGCCCCCTTGATGGGCGCCGAGTTCGGAGCGCGGGCGCTCCTCTTCCAAGAAGAGCGGCGTCGGGGCGCCGCGACGCCAGTCCACGGAAGGAGACAGGCCAGGGAAATCCTCGCGAACGGCTCGCGAGATCGCCTGCCTGTCCAGCGCGTTGAGAGCGCCCGACAGGTCTAGCCTCGCGAAGACCTTCTGGTGGTTGCCCTGGTTTCGGCCCCACCGCTGTCGCGCGACTTGGGCCGCCGGCGCGCGCCGTCGGGGCGGGGCCCGCGCGCAGGGTAGCCCAGCCCGCCGAAAAAAAAACACGCGTCGACGGAGCAGGCGCGCAGCCCTTTGAGAGTGATCCAGGCCCTCGAGAGTTGACTGCAAATTGGCGCCCTTGGCCATCATGTTCAGGGCGCGATTCCAACAGAAACGATCGCCCCCCACAGGGGCCCCCGAGAGTTCGGAAAGGTTTTCTTCCCGAAGACGGGAACCCCGCGGAAACGATGCCATTTCCACGTCGTTGTCGGCGCCGTTGCCCAGGCCCGCCGCGGCCGAGCGCCCCGCCAGGCGGCGCAAAGGGCGGGCGACTGCGGGCGCGTCATAGCCAGGCCCAGGGAGCCGTCGGCTGGGTCGGTCGGTTCGGCGCGCGCCTGCTCCGCGCAGCGTTGTAGGGCGAGCGCGGAAAGCAGCGGGCCGAGCGGGCCCCCGTGTTGGACGCCGAGTTCGGAGCGCAGGTGTTTCTTCCCCAAGAAGAGCAGCGCCGGGGCGCCGCGGCACCAGTCCGCGAAATGATCAAGCCAGGTCAGGGAAATACTCGCGAACGGCTCGCAAGACCGCCTGCCGGTCCAGCGTGTTGAAAGCGCTCGACAGGTCTATCTCCGCGAACACTTTCTGGCGGTCGCCCTGCTTTCGGCCCCACCGCTGTGGCGCGACGTGGGCCGCGACCGCCGCGCCTGCTGGCGCCGCCGCCCCGAGCTGCAGCGGCGCCAGGCGCGCGTGCTCCATCCGAGACTTCGCTGCAAAGGGATCGGCCCACCAAGCAGCGCAGCGTCTCCCCGACGCCGACTGGCCGCGGACCGACCGAGGGGCGCAGCATCTGCCCGACGGCGACCTGCCAAGCGGCGCAGCGTCTCCCCTGATTGGCGACTAGAGTTTATTATGACTTGTTCGCCCTTCCAGGGTTACCACGCGACCTCTGGACCTCTGCGGTGCCGCGCGGCGAGCGCGAGCGCAGTCGTCGATCGGGGGCATCTGGAGTTTTTTTTTGTTTACGAATGTCCCGACGGACCCCTGATTATTCGATGGGCGGGCGGGCTGGCGCGCGGGCGGGGCGGGCGGGCGGGCGGGCGGGCGGGTCGTGCAGCGCGCAGGCGGGCGGGCGCGCGAGCGGGCGGGCGCGCGGGCGCGAGCGAGCATGGGCGAATGGGCTCGCGGGCGGGCGGGCGGACGGTCGAGCGGGCGGGCAGGCGCGCGGGCGGGCGCGCGGGCACGCGGGCGGGCACGCGGGCGGATTGGCAGGCGGGCGGGTGGTGCGGCAGGCGCGCGGGCGTGCCGGCGGGCGAAGAGGCGGACAGCGACTCGTGCCAGGCCTGGTTCTGGACGCGGTCGCGGCGTTTCGTGCGGTCGCCGCGGCAGCTGCTCGTGCGCGCGCGCTCTGCGAACGTGCCCATCACCTCTTCGCGCGCTGGGGCGAACGGGCGAGACAGGGCGGGCAAGTGGGCGGGCGAACGGTTGAACGCGCGGAGGTGCGGGTGAGCGAGCGGGCGGGCGGCCGCGCCAGGTAGGGTGCAGTGCGGGCGTGGCCATTGCAGTCGCCGTCGTCGTCGTCGTCGTCGTCGTCGTCGTCGTCGTCGTCGTTGTCGTCGCTATCGTCGGCGGCAGCGGCGGCGGTGGCAGCGGCGGCGGTGGCAGCGTCGGCGTCGGCGTCGGCGTCGGCGTCGGCGTCGTCGTTCTCGTCGTCGTCGTTCTCGTCGTCGTCGTTGCTTTGCACGTCGTTGCCGTCGACGGCGCCGAACAATTTCCTCGTTGTCGCCCACGCGGAACACAAACGAGTTTTTTGGGTTCGCTTCTGGGGACGTTGCCACGTGACGAAACGAACGATGTGTGTCCGTCCCCTGCGTTGCTACGTGGCGAAAATTATATAATCCAATGTATCGTCCGCCCCTTTAGGACAACACTCGATCCGTTTTCGCCTCCCTCCGCTGCCACCTGATGGAAAACAGGCGGGCAGGCGAGCGGGTGGGCGGGCCAGCTGGCGAGCGTGCGTGCTTGTGTCTTTTATGCGCTCACGGGTTGGTAAGTACAGCTGTGGTCCCATGGCGTAGCTTCAGTGAATACTTGTGCCACGATGTTCTAATGGGCGAGATTCGTGTAAACAGGGTTGGCTGGAGGAGATGGGCAGGGAAGGTTGGCCTGATACTTGGGGGTTCGCAGGGCCCCTTTTGCCTTGGTCGTCTTCGCATTTCTGAGTCCCGCTGACACCAGAAAGCTCAGTCCGAGCATGCAGACCCCAATTCTTGGATATCAGTATTTTCCAGAACAGGTCGCGGTTATTTTGTGGCGCCGTCGTCATCATCGCGTCGCCGCTCTGGTTAGTCATTATCATGTTCTCTTTTCGCGAAGTACCTGGATGCCTGCGAATTCCACTGCCGATGTCGACGGCGTTCACCGAAAAACTGAAAATTCGGGGTGGTGACCGAGATTCTTTCGCAAAGTGTAGAGTATTTCGCATTAGGATGCTCATGGAGCCAGTAGGGGCGAGTTTCCGAAATTTGGGCAGGCGCGTTGTACTCAGTTGTCTCGTTGTGGTTCACAGGGTAAGCTCGGAGTGAACCACTCACTGCGTTTATTCAATCGCTTCGCTCACTCCGCCGGCCCATATTGCATGATCGCTACTGGTTCGCCGTGGGCTCGGGGCCACTGTAGTGCCGCCGAGGAGGAGGAAGATGAGGATGGGGAAGAGGAGGGGAGGAGGAGGAGAGGATGAGAAGGAGAGGAGGAGGAGGAGAAGGAGGAGGAAGAGGCGGAAGAGGAGGGGGCGGAGGAGGAAGCCTCTCGTTGGCATCTTGTGCTGTTCTTGGGGTTAAACAGGGTCGTCGTCAAGATGCTTCTTTGGGGGACCTTTTGGGGTCTTTTCCGTTCGGGGGCGCCTGGGAGGCATTTTTGAAGGCTTCTGGGGCCTCTTGGGGCTTCTTTTGGGCCTCCTGGGGACCTCCTGGGGCCTCTTGGGGGCCTCTTGGCGGCGTCTTGGGGCCTCTTTGGGGCCTCTCAGGGCCTCCTGGGGCCCTCTTGGGGCGGAAGGCTTGAGTTTTCGGTTCGTGGCCTCCCTCTTGGGCCCCTCTTCGGGCAGTCTCGGGCGCCTCTTGGGCGGTCTCGGGGCCGTCTTGGGGCTCTCTTGGGCCGTCTTGGGCGCCTCTTGGGCCGTCTCGGGGCCCTGTTGGGGCCCTCTTGGAAGCCTCTTGGCCCGTTTTGGGGCGCTCTTGGGGGCCTGTTGGGCCGTCTTGGAGCATCGGAACGCCGAAAAAGCGACACGGCCAAAATCCTTCCAAAACCATACGAAAATGTATGATTTTGGCCTCTCAGGGCCCTCTTGTGAGGCCTCTTGGAGGCCACTTGGAGGCCTCTTGGGCCGTCTTGGGGTCATCTTCGGCGTCTTGGAGCGCTCTTTGGGCGTCTCGGGGGCCTCTTGGGCAGTCTTGGGGGCCTCTTGGGGCCGTCTTGGCGCGCTCTGGGGGCTTGAGAGGCCGCGCACAGAAGGAAAATCATCTCTGAGTCGGACCGCCCGGGACCTTGCCGGGACCCCCAGGGGCCGCCCCGCGCGCGCGATCTACAAATATTGTTAAGCAGTCACCGGAGATTTTAGCACGCCTCTGGCCCCTTGGGCCAGCGAATTTGTAAGTCCGTTGCGCATTGGAACAAGAGGGTTTCAGGGGGAGACGGGCTGGAGAACTAATTTGGATCACAAGGCCCGGTGTTCTTGATGGGCGTTGAGCTTACGGTGGCAGCGACGAGATCAGGTTCCCATGTATGGTTTACAGCTTCCCGACGCCTCAGGCTGATCGTCCTGAAATATTCCCGTTCGCCCGAGAACAATTTCTTCGCTCGCCAGAGACATGTCTTCGTTTGTGCGAGAGGACGTCCTCGCTCGCCCTCTCGACTTCCCTTCGCTCGGCAAGATGAGTTTCATCGCTCGCCCGCCGACATCTCCTCGTTCTTTGGAGTTCTCGTCGACCTCCGCGCGGAACATGTATTGCGCAGGTTGTTCGTCTTCGATCGTGGAAACCCATGCCAAGAAACACCCTGCTTGCCTCCAGGGTGCCGTGGGTTTCGATGGTTTCGATGGTTTTGCTATGGGAAGCTTGATTTCCCCACGCCAGAAATCGATGGACATCCTGGGGTATCAGGGCTGGGTTTCGTGTGGAAGTCTTCTTGGGGTCGAGCTTCTAGTGTACCCAATCGCCGAATGCCACGCCCAGGAACGGGGCTCCAAAAGCGAGCGAAAAGCAAGGGCCCAACGACGCGGCCAGCGAAGGGGGGGCCGGCGAAGACGCCATCTGGGGCCGCGAAAAGCCTCGCGGGGACGAGCGCAAGCCACACGCCCGCCAATCCATGCTTACAGTGGGGGCGCGTGCCAAGAAACCAGTCGGATTTTGCCAGGGTGCCCTGGGTTTCTTGGATTTCGATGGGCTCCCAATCAAATCTTGACGATTTTCGATCGACACACGTGGATTTTCACTGAACGCATCGCGGATTTCAGGGTTGGGTTTCTTTCGGAGGTTTCTTGTGGCCGAGCCCCCACTGTACACAAAAGCTCGAAGTATCAATGGCAAGCTGAAGAGGAGTGAGGAACATCAGAGGAAGAAAAGGTACCCATACATCCACCCTGCGCCCGTTTTCCCCTTCTTGGGCCTCCTGGGAGGCCCTTGTCGCCACCGCTGGATTTCCCCCGACCGTCCGGCTAGAGCGCACCCCGTGGTGAGGTCAAGGGAGTAGCGGCGTCGGGAATTCTTGATTTCCCCGGCAGAGGGAGGTGGAGCAATTGCAGGACGAGGGGGGGGAGGAGGGGGAGGAGGAGCCGGCAGGATCGGCAGCCTGCGGCCTCTCGGACAGGCGGCGGGTCACCACAAGAGGGGCTGGAGCAACATCATAGAGCTCGAGAGCCTGCTCGACCCCGCCGGCGGCTTCCTCGTGGACGCGTCCGCGCGCGCCGCCGTCACCGCCGCCGCCGCCCACCGCTTGGATCCGGTGCCATCCGATCGTTCCGATTCGACGGCGGCTGCGGCTGGCCCAGTCCGATCGGACTCCGACGCTTCCGATGCTCGGGGGCGGCAAAGAGGGGGTGATGACCAGGGGGGGGGATATCATGGCGGGGGCCATGATAGTTCACCAGATTTCATGGCGCCTTCTCTTGTTTCATTACGTCCCGTCGTCAGTCCACGTGTTCGCCCAGTGGGTGAAGGCGTGGACTGTCGGGCCGTGGACGGGTGGGCAGTGCACGTGTCGACCTTGTTGTTGTCTCTGTTGTTGTGGTTGTAGTGGTTGTTGTAGATGTCTGATGTTGTGTTCCCCCCCGCGACCGGACCCCGCGACCCACCCGCGACCCCCCTGCGACCCACCCGCGACCCAACCCGCGACCCATCCGCGACCCGGCCCGCGACCCACCCGCGACCCCCCCGCGACCCACCCGCGACCCAACCCGCGACCCATCCGCGACCCGGCCCGCGACCCCCCCGCGACCCCCCCGCGACCCACCCGCGAACCACCCGCGACCCACCCGCAGCCCACCCACGACCCACCCCGCGACGCAGCCGCCGCCCATCCGCGACCCACCCGCGACCCACCCGCGGCCCACCCGCGACCCCCACCCGCGACCCACCCCGCGACCCACCCCGCGACCCACCCGCGACCCACCCCGTGACCCACCCTCATTGCTTTAACGAAAAAAATCGGCGCTCGCGGCGAGCTTGCTGTGCATTTTGTAACAATTCGGCGCTTGCGGCGGGCTTCTTCAGAGCCTCGCAGGCTGCCGACGTCCCCGCCGCCCGCTCACTCTTATCCGCAATTGCGGGGTGCGACATATTGTGTGGGTCTGGCCTCGTGCTTGCATGCCTCTGAGTGCGAGTTACCTACCCCCGCTGTTGCTTCCAGGCAAAACCAAGTCATGCCACGCACCTCCTCATCAAGCAGCCTGACCGTTGCGTTGCCACACCACGGATAGCTCGGCATTGTCTGATTCCCGTCTGGAAGCGAGGGTGGTCAAAAGTTCCAAAAGCCAGGTGGGTTCTTTGCCTCTAATTGAAAAGGAATGAGACGGCATAAACATAATTTATCTGAGCTCCGCTCGGATTTTTTGGATTGGCGTTGGGCCCCCTTGGCGGCGCCCCCAGCGCCAATCCAAGAATCAGCGCGGAACTACCAGACATCATGCTTTTGCCGTTGTTTGTGGTCCTCTCTCAATGGCTCCACTCTCTGTGCTGGGTCCTGCGTCCTCCTTGCACCTCCCTCAGATCCCTGCGCCGTAAAAAGAATACGTAGCACCCCGCAGTTGGGGACAAGAGTGAGGTCAGGCTCGGGGTGGGTCGCGGGTGGGTCGCGGGTGGTTCGCGGGTGGGCCACGGGCGGGTCGCGGCTGCGTCGCGGGGTTGGTTGCGGGGTGGGTCGAGGGTGGGTCGAGGGTTGGGTGAAGGGTGGGTGGCGGCTGCGTCGCGGGGTGGGTTTCGAGGTGGGTCGCGGGTGGATCGCGGGGTGGGTCGCGGGGTGGGTCGCGGGTGGGTCGCGGGTTGGGTATTGGGTGGGTCGCGGGGTGGGTCGCGGGTGGGTCGCGGGATGTGCGTGAGACCGGTCGGCCCCTTGTCACTCGGTCTCGACAGGGGGTCTCCGCGTCGCTCCGCCCCGAGGCCCCAATGGGGGGCCGCCGCGGATCGGCCTGGGCCCGAGGAATGCAAGGGGGGTCGGGGCCCAAGAGGCGGGGGTCGGCGCAGACTTGCCAGTTTGAAGCATATCCCTATCCCTGCGTTTGGCATCACCTCACCTCGATGCCGATCCCAAGGATTCCCTCGGTTTCTGCGAGCACATCCCTAAGATTATCCTCGCTTTTTGCTCGCCCATCTTAGGGATAGGGATAAGTTCGAGGCTGGTTACAGACGAGGGTCAGCCGGAGTGCCGGATCCTGCAGAATGCTGCAGAGCCAGGACTGCACTGACCCGGGCGTGGGTGCACGGTCCTGCAGGATCTCGCAGGGTCCTGCAGGGCCTGATTGGACCTGGGTACGGATTGACCCGGGGTCTGTAGATCCCCGTAGGGGGACATGGGGGGCATCGAGGCTTTCGGACGTGATTTTTCAGGCCGCCGCGTTCTTGCTTCATGGCGCAGGTGTCTGTGCATTTTTCTTTCCGAGGGGAGCAGACAATGGCATAAACAGAAACCTCCCAGGTCCGCGCGGATTCCTCGGATCGGCGCCGGAGGCGCCGCCAGGCCGCCCCAGCGCCGATCCGAGGAATCTCCGCGGACCTCAGAGTTGTTATGGTTGTGTCGTTATTGGTTCCCCCAGTCCGGGTACTCTTCGCCCGCTCTCTCTTTGTCCACGCGCCAGGCCTCCATGATGGGGCCGGCGCAGATGGGGTCGGAGGATCACGCCACATCGCCGATGCATCGGCGATGCGGCTCGGTGTGGAGCCCGATGTTCTCCGCGCCGACGTCGCAGATGCATCGCCGACGTCACCGATGCTTCGCCGAGGCATCGACGACGCACCGACGAGTCGGCGCGACGCTCCGACCCCACCTGCTCCGACGCCAAAATGGTAAATAGAATGCCCCCCAAATAGCCCCAGTGTTGGACTATTTTGGAATCTCCCCCTGTGGTGGGACAGGCCCGACCTAAACCTACTCTGGCCCCATCTTGGAGGCCTCTACTCAGAGCGTGAATTACCTACCCCGCTTTCGCTTCCAGGCAAAACCAAGTCATACCACGCGCCTCCTCGTCAAGCGGCCTGATCAGTACAGGCCGTAGTTTGGCATCGCTTGGTATCGCTTGGAAGCGAGGGTGGTCAAAAGCGAGGTAGGTTTGTTTGCCCCCTATCTACTCTTCCCTCGCCCCTCCCTTAAGTGTTTCGCAGCTTGCCTCAGGTTTTCCTTATGTTTTCGATCGGACATCGAAGTCTAACTTATGGAAACATTGGGCCTCGTTCCTCATTTTGGGCTCCTTAGGTCAAGGCCCCGACTGTACTCTTCCCTCGTCCCCGCTCCTTCTCCTCACCCCTCCCCTCCCCGTCACGAGCGCAGGCCCCCCGGCAGGGTCTCGACGAGACCCCGGAGGGACCTCTCGCCGGAGGGACCTCTGGTGCCTGGCACGGGTGGGCCCTCCTCTGGCTGAAAGCGAAGCAGCAGCAGTCGGAGCCCCGAATCATCGGGGGTCACTCGGGTCAGGGCCGACTCGGGTTCGCTTGTCGGGATTCCGAGCCCGACTTGCCCCGGACCCGACTTCCCCCAGATAATTCGGGCGTCCAGAGCCCCACATCATCCGGGGTAACTCGGGTCAGGGCCAACTCGGGTTCGCTTGTCGGGATTCCGAGCCCGACTTGTCCCGGACCCGACTTCCCCCAGATAATTCGGGCGTCCAGAGCCCCACATCATCAGGGGTAACTCTGGTCAGGGCCAACTCGGGTTCGTTTTTCGGGATTCCGAGCCCGACTTACCCCGGACCTGATTTACCCCGGATAATTCGGGCGTCCAGAGCCCCACATCATCAGGGGTAACTCGGGTCAGGGCTAACTCTGGTTCCCTTTTCGGGAATCCAAACCCGAGTTACCCCGGATAACTCGGGCGCCCAAAGCAGCGGCTTGCGCGTCCAGGTTTGGTCTCCCCGCGGCCCCCCAAAAGCCGCGCACCAAAGGTCGCTCTTACCCAGGGTCACTCTTGCGTGTAGCCGACAGGTCGAAGGTTTGTCGTCGGCCCCCCAAGCTTTGCCAGACGGCCCAAACAGCCCCACGGCATGAGTAACTAGAGGGTGGCGGCCCTCCCCCGAAGAGTGAAGGGGAGGCGGGCCAGAAGTTTTCTGGCATGCTTCTGTTCTCCCCGCCAGGGTTAAGTCGGGCATGTCCCTCTACAGGGAAAAGTTCAAATATAGTCAAACACTCATATGGGGACGATGTGTTTGTTGTCCTACTATGTTTGACTATGTGGGAGTATTGTTTTTAAGTACGTTTTATTGTTCTTCCAAAATCCGCCTGTAGGAGGACATGCCCGACCTAACGCCAGAGCCTGGCGTGTTCGCCGCTCAACCTCTCTGAGGCGCCGTCTTGTCGACTGCCCGCTCCGATGCTGCGACTCCTCAGGGTCCTGGGTTGCGCCTCTCTCGGCGGCGAGCGAGGGGGGGCGAAGTAAGAAGGAGAAGGCCTTCTCAGAAGGCTCGGAAGTCTCCCTGCTTTCTGAGAAGTCTTCTAAGCCTTCCCCGGAGACACGGAAGGCTTCTCAGGAGGCTGGAGGGCTTCCGAAGAGCCCCGCCGCTTTCTGAGAAGGCCTTCTCCTTCTCACTTTCCCACCTCGCTCGCCGCCGACTCTTGCCAAGATCTGAGTGTTCTCTTACTGCCGATGCCGACCCAGATGCTCTGTTCCCGAGGACGACACCGTCGTCGTAGAGCTCCACATCAACGCGTGGAGGACCCCCTCCTCCTCTCGGTGTCACCAACACATGCTGACACTGTGTGTGCGTCGTCCCCCCCCCCCCCCCCATGTTCGACGCACGCTCTCAGGCATCTCTTGGTGGATGCTCGGCGGCAGGCGCTTTCTGGCCAGAGCGCCGGGGTAGCGATGCATTAGAATGTGCCTGTGCTGCGTGTTCGTTTCGGGGGGGGGCGCTGCCAATGTCTCCGTGTGCCCCTCTGCGTCCCATACCTCCTCGCCCCTTCTTCGCCCCTCTCGCCTTAAGTCGGGCCTGTCCCTCTACAGGGGGAATATCCAAATTTTTCAAACCATAGTCTGGGGACCATTATTTTTGTTATGTTTGGGGCATCTTTCGAGTATTTTTTGGATCTGTATTATTTTTCGTCCAAAATCACCCTGAAGGGGGACAGGCCCGACTTGACCCTCGCCCCACTCTCTCCCTCCTTCCCACCCCCTTACTCTTCCACCTCTCCCCTTTCTCCACGGCCCCGCCCCTCTCGAGGACGAGGAGAAAGGGGAGAGGCAGCAACAGCAGCAACAACAGGGCTGACGCTAGGGCCGCGGATCGTCGAAGTCGGGCTGCCAGCAACTGGGAAAGCAGCAGGAGGAGAGGAGGAGGAGGAGAGGAGGAGGAGGAGGAGGAGGGGAGGAGGAGGAGGAGGAGGAGGAGGAGGAGGAGGAGGAGGGAGGAGGAGGAGGAGGAGGAGGAGGAGGAGGAGGAGGAGGAGGAGGAGGAGGAGGAGGAGGAGGAGCAGGAGCAGGAGCAGGAGCAGGAGCAGGAGCAGGAGTTTTGCTCGAGGGCAGAAGCGATAGCCTTCTGACGTGGCTAGCGCCAGTGACCCCAGCCTATGTATCTGGGGCCTTCCTGGGCTGCTGACTCCTCTGTAGTGCCTTGAACTGCTCAATCTCATTCAAAGGCCTGCCATCCTCTGGATAAAGGCCAGACAGAAGTCGCTTGCGCACTGTGAATCTCTTGCCACTCTTCGGTGGACCAAGGCACTGTGCCAGCAAGCCCTTGAAAACAAAAGTCGTGTGCATCCCACAAACGACGCAACACACGATGAGGCCGTCTGGGCATGTCGCTGCCGAGAGGGCATGCGAGGGGTGCACCAGCTGTAAGCGTGACCTAAACTCTCCTGAGAAAGGTGTGCACAGCTCGGTTTGTCGCTTAGATACCGCTTCATCCGAGTGCGAGAACGTAAAACATCCTGCGCAGCGCCAAGGGACATGCTGGGCTCGTTGCCAGTCATGTACCAGCGAGAGCTGAATTCGACGATCCTGCTTGCCTGGGGTTCGCTCTCCTCGCAAGTGCTTCGGCCAAGCCTGCAACATGCGAGGAATGAAAAGAAGAATATTGGCGGCACCCTCCATCTTGACTCGCAACGACGACCCAGACGACGGGTCAAACGACGGATGTAATTGGAGGGCCGCCTTCGCTGACAAATCGCACTGCTGGTTGAGGCGAAATGGCACTAAGTCCTCTGTCGCCACCGAGTCTTCGCTCTGGTGCGCCTTGACTTTCACCGCAGAAGAAAGGAGCTTGCTACTGTCGCTGCCAAGAGCCGTGCGAAAAGTGCCTGCATACATGCTCCTATACGACAATCTCGCGGCGAGAGGCTTGTGATAACTGTCGAGGACTGACTTACAATCAACGAAAGCCTGCGCCTGTTCTGTTAAGATCTGCTGCAAAACTATGAATCCTAAATGTTCAGCCGCCTGCGGTGTTTGAGGGAGGGGGAAAACAACTGGCCCCGAGACAACCACTTCGAGCCCCCCGTCGGCCGAAAATCCTCCAACCGCCCAGGCGGCTTTGTCGAGACTCTTAATGCCTGACCGCGTGCACGTGCCATCAGACCCCGTGAGCGGGCCCACCTTACAGGTGCAATGCGTGCCGAAATACGCTTCACGGCCTACTTGACGGATTTCCATAAACAAAAATCGCTGGCAGGAGCGGGAAACCCATCAGGGTCTGAGGAGGGGTGAGAGAGGATGCCTAACTGGTAAACCAAAGACCTGTCAGCTGATTCTACGCACTTAGCTAGCAGGTCGGGGTGAATCAGTTTCTTTCTCAGTTCGACAGCCTCCTCAGCCTGGCAGAAGTACAGGCGGTGAACGAGCGTGTCACCTGAATCTCCGCAGAGTGCACACTGGTCCTCTGTGGAGTATCCTGCAGCAGCTGCCCTACTGGTTGTCCAATAACCTTGACATATGACGGCCCTGAGTAGGGCTTTCTGTCCCGAGGATATTTTGATTTGAGAAGCTTTGTCTTCATCTGGATCCCTGGCTGGTTTTCTGCCCATGATTCCTCCTCCTCCACCGAGAACCCTCCTGACCATGTCGAAACAAACTCTGGGTGTGGACTCGATGTGGCTGAGACTGCGAACAGCTTTAATTTCCCAGCTCCTGGCGCAGGCGTCCAGCAGCCAGTGCTCTACCAGCTTTGGCGAGAGATCCGCGAGCGAGAACGCCTTGTCCTCGTGCGTGACTAGCACGAAGGGTCCTTGAAACTTCCAGCCGGTCCTATCGAGTGCATGAACTGCTGCCGTGATGGGCCCTCGAACCTGACTGTACTTAAGGCCCGACTGTGGACCAACTTGATCCCAATAAGCTTTCAACTGCAGAAGCCCAATCGTACCCATCGGAGCGGCCTTCCCAATGCTGGCAGCCCAAACTTCTTTAGCCCACCTGATAACTGGCCCAAGAGCCCGCTTGTCAGACTTACACCCATACAACGCAAACGTCACAGCTCTGCTTTTACCTTTGCATTTGGGCCCCGGGGCTGACAACTCAATGCTGCATAGTTGCTCTGAATAATTGTTAGAGAGCCCTTCTATTTCGGACGCGTAAGCCCCCGCAGGCAGAAGACCACAGGTGACAATTTTCCGAGCTCCCTGTCCAGCAACTCTGACAAGCTGTCGCAATCTAGCGGCGCGAGCTCTGACCTTACGCATCCTTCTGGCTCTTTTGGATTCATTGGCGAGGGAAACCGATTTGCCTGCTCGGAAGTCTGACCCAAGATTGGTAGTAGACAGATAGTACTTCCCTGCCCAAGAGCCTAAAGCATTCAAGATGTTCCTGCCCAACGCCACCGAGGAGGAAACGAGCGAGCACTTGTCGACAGAGAGCGTAGCGTCTAGATCCTCTTTGATCATCCTCGCAAGCTGCTTGGCGGCTGTGACGAGCCACCTGAGGACGTCCTTGCTCAAGCCAAACGCCGTGAGCGAGAAACCGTCTAAGTAAAAGTCGAAGTAGACTGCCGCATTCAATGAGGTGATTCTGAGAAACCCTTGAAAGCAATAGATGCGAACATAGACTATGGCAAAAGAGCAGCCTGCCACAATGCCACGGAAAGCATAGAGAGGCTTGCTGACTGCTCGTTTGTATCCTACGAACCTAGCAGGACCATACGCGGCAAGGTGGAACTGCATAAGAGTAGGACTGAATCCTAATTCTAGGCCTCTATCATGCAACCTGGCTCTCACGAACCTCTCATAGAAAGAAGTCAGGTCCCAAAAGAGGCCTACTGCGGCTTCTCCTGAAGCCTTGGTTGCTTCACTCCTCAGACTTTGCCTCCAGACAACGTCTATGGGAGATCTCCCAGGGCCGCAGCTGAACCATGGGTGGTCAAACTTGTCTATCCAAGACTTGGCATACGGGAGCCTGATGCGCCCAGAGACCCGATAAAACATACTGAATATCCCAATAGTACGGTACCCTTTGGAGGCCTTGGGGAGAAGCGCCATAAGAACCCATTGAAGCTGAGGTGGTAATTGCCCCAGACACTCCGGGATACCCAAGAGATAGATGAAAGCCTGCACTCCCTCTCCAGTCAGACACGACAGATGACGACAGTGAAATCCATCCAAACTGACCGCAGACTTGGTAGAATATGATTTGTTTATAGCCTGCACTGCTTCAACTGATGGAAGGGGAATAGCTGCCTGTCCACGAGCAGTGCGATGATGAGGCGAACATGTTGCCTCCCACACGCTGGAGTACTTGCGATTGTACTCGTCAAGAAGAGCTTGCACACTGGACGACTGAATGCCGTCTACCACGAAGACTTCTGGCTCCCACTTTACCTTCTCCTTGCAAAACCTGCGTGCTTGCCCTGCCCCCTTATTCAAAGCTTGTGCCACTCAATCCTGCCAACTCTTCTGGCGTTGCCTATGCGCGTCAGCAATAACCGCACGAGCAAAGCCTACCACAAGACTAATCTCATGCTCGAGTTCGATTGCTATATCGTTCCTATTGTCCTCATCCAATCCCACCTTGCTATGCAGGTATGTGTGTATCTGTTTGGCCAGCCCCTTGACCGCCACAAAAGACTTGCTCGTGCTAGCGTGCGCTAGAACATGATGAGGATTACCGTTCATAATCTTGACACACAAATTGTTGAGATCATGCGCATGCTCCACACGAACACAACACGAGCGACTCATGTCGAAACGAATACATGTGAGCAGCTGAAGCATGCGCCGCATGCGCGAAACTAGCCACGCTGGCCCTTGTGCAACTGCTGCAAAATGCGTATGCACTGGCGTCTTCTGAACTAGTGGAGCGAGGCGAGGCTTCGGCAACAGACCGCGACCTCCAGGCTTAGTGAGTTTCTTACCCGTCCTGTCCGCAATCTCCCTCTCCGCCTTGGCCGCCCAATAACGATAGAGAACCCCATGCAATCTCTCCATGCCCTCTGGCTTCTCCTTCCCCGCCTGCCCCTGAAGCTGGAAAAAGAGCTGCTCGCATCGCTGCAAAAGGTCGGCCCAGTCGACCGTGGAATTGCCGATCTCTTCGGGCTCTTCTGGCAGCTGGCAGGCGAGCGCGGGCGCGGTGTCGAACTGCAATATGCGTGCGTGCTGCATCCTGGCAGGCAGACCTATTCTGATTGGAAAATGCGGCCTTGCGTGCCATTCGAAGTCCGTAGAAACTGAAGTCACCAGCCTGGCCAACTCTGTTTCTACTACGAAATAATCAATGACTTGCGTCTTACCTTTGTCCGAGAGGGGAGGATCGGCCACCAAGACTTGTGCCCCAAGAGCCTCCGAGAACCCAGACGACGCCAAGGATTCATAAGGGGTGTTGAAATCACCACCAATGATGAATTGCATGTTGGATGCCTTACAGCGTGTAGCCACCCTCTCCAAAAGTTCCAAGTTGGTAACAGACAGGCCCTCCGAGACTTTCCCATAAACTGAGACACACAAGACTCCTGCGGTGCCTGGGAACTCTACCACACAAGACAGGGCCCTGCCTCGAAAGAGAACTCCTTCGGAAGGGAATGAGGGTGGCTGGAGATTGTAGGCCCCTAGAGTAGCGCGGACAAAGATGGCTACTCCTGAAGAAACGAGTTCGTCCCCTAGGTCAGTGCGACTGGAACGAGCCGTACCAGAGGGGCCTATGAAACTCGGAGCCCCGAACGACTTCCACCCATGGTCAAGCGCCCATGCTGAAGCAGTTCCCAGGGACCCCATCCAGGAGTTTGACTTCCTGCGCAAACAAAACCGCGACCGAGGTATTCTGAAGTTCCCCCAATTTTTGCCTGATAGTACCCCACGACGACCCATTGAATGTTTCCACCAGCATAGCTTCGCCCTCACCTCCGAGATCACCTTCAACATCGGAATGGTCGGAATCAAAATCGCTGCCAGAAAATTTGGGCCCAAAGCTGTGGAAGTCGTTCTGCCTTGTAATATATGGCGTCCGCTGCGTGCCTGCAGGGGCTGGAAAAGTTTTGTTAGGACCTTGGCCTGACTTCAGCCGCACTTGCAGCTGCATCTGCGGGCTCAGCGGGGCGCGGCACTTCAGCAGGAGCGCCGGCGCGCTGCATCTCCCGCGGGGAGCGCGACCCGCGGCCCTCGGTGCGCTCCTTGGCATCGTCGGAGCGCGCGCCCTTGCCACGACCTGGCCCTTGTTCTCTAGCACGAGCAGGCGGCGGCGAAAGTGGCGCAGGAACTGCAGGTCGCTTAGCCACCTGAGCAGGGACCGAAGGGCGTGTAGCTGGCGGCGCACTGGCTGCCTCGGCCGAGGCTGCGTGCACCGGTGTGCCAGGCTGCTGCGCCCTGGCCATCTGCGCCTTTGCTGCCTCCCAGTCGGCTTTTCTCTCTGTAGGAATCCAGGATTCGAGCGCGGCGAGCTGCTGCTGCACGATGCTGTCCTGCTGCGCAGGCGGTGCTGCCTCAGCGTCCATGGCATCCTCGGTGCTGTTGGCCTCGAGTGCGGTGACAAGCTGCTTGCCCATGGCCAAAAGCTGGGCCACCTCACTGTTAGCCTCTGCTTTGGCTGCCAGCGTGTCGAGGGACAGCTTGAAGGCCTGGATGTCACCCAATTGGCCGCGAGCCGTCGAAGCCCGTGTCTTCGACTGCTGCTCGCGCTCATCGTTGTACTGTTGCTGAGCCTCCTCAAATCGTTGTTGAAGGTTTGCGCCATCCTCTCGCATGGTAGTGAGGAGATGCTCCATCTGGCCAATGAACTTAGCGTTCTCGTCCAGCTGCTTGCGAATCTGTTCCAGTTTGTCGGCTGCTCGCTGGACTCTGATGGTGGCCCGTTGGACCTGATCACGATGTGGAAGATGTGCTGCAGCCTGTGCCTTGAGCTGTGCCAGCTTTTGCTTGGACTCTGCAATGTTCTGTGCATGGCCTGGGACAAGCTCATCAGTGACTGCGTCAGCCATTGCAATGTACTTCTCGAGCGAGGAGATCTGTTGCTGCAGCTTGTCCTCATCGACCGTCTTGGGTGGGGTGAGCACGTCTGGCGGCTGATTTTCCGCTTGTGGCGGCTGCGGCAAACTGGCACCGCTGGCGCCGTAGCGGTTCTGGCAGTACTTGAAGAGGTCAACCTGCGGCGGAGCGGGATCTACTGCACCTCCTGCATTGCCTGCGTCACGACCTTTGCCTCGACCTCTCTTTGGGAGCCATCCTGTGGGCGGCTGGAAATTGCTCCCGCAATACTTGCACTTGCGAAGACCACTGTCAAGATACACCCAGCTGCGAGGCCCACAATTTTGGCAGGCGACCCAGCGCCTCGGCGTGCCGCCCGACATGACTGAGACACTGAGCGAGCGGAAAGGGTGCAAGAAAATGGGCTGGCCGAAGTGGGGCGGACCACTCCAGCCTCTGCCTGGGGTGGACCAGGCGAACACAACGAGACTGGCCGCGGACTAGCGGTATCCGTGTGGTCCCGCAGGGAACCTGTCATCTTGAGCCAAAATGGCTACGGAGCAGGAGCAGGAGCAGGAGGAGGAGGAGGAGGAGGAGGAGGGGGCGAATGGGGGAGGGGGAGAGTGAGAAGCATCAGCAGGTGGTAGATAAGGAGGGGGAAGCGCTGCAGGTGGAGGAGACGGCGCTGCAAGAGAGAGGAGGAGGTGGAGAGGAGGAGGAGGAGGAGGAGGAGGAGGAGGAGGAGGAGGAGGAGGAGGAGGAGGAGGAGGAGGAGGAGGAGGAGGAGGAGGAGGAGGAGGAGGAGGAGGAGGAGGAGGAGGAGGAGGAGGAGGAGGAGGAGGAGGAGGAGGAGGAGGAGGAGGGAGGAGGAGGAGAGGAGGAGAGGAGGAGGAGGAGGAGGAGGAGGAGGAGGAGGAGGGGAGGAGGAGGAGGAGGAGGAGGAGGAGGAGGAGGAGGAGGAGGAGGAGGAGGAGGGGAGGAGAGGAGGAGGAGGAGGAGGAGGAGGAGGAGGAGGAGGAGGAGGAGGAGGAGGAGGAGGAGGAGGAGGAGGCGGAGGAGGAGGAGGAGGAGGAGAGGAGGAGGAGGAGGAGGAGGAGGAGGAGGAGGAGGAGGAGGAGGAGCTGCAGCACGAGCATCCAGGATCGAAGGCCTGTCCCATCCTTGCTGCACCCCTCCCTCGAGCAAGGAGGACCGAGGCTCGACGTGGGCGCAAGGTGGAGCATGGAGGATCATTTGCCCACGCCCCGAGGGTCCATTTCGATCCCATCGGTCCGATTCGATGTCGGCCCTCGCCGGCCCGATCCGATTGGAGTCCGATTCTCGGGCGGTGTGGCGAGGCCCGGTGCCTGCGTGGCGCTGTTCGGCATCCCGGCGCCGCCGACTCGACGCCACCCCGATCCCAAGCCGGGGTTGGTCCGCTTCGATGCACGTTCCGAACGGAGCCGATTTCCCGACTCAACGTTGGCTGTTCCTGCCGCTCCCCCACCACCTCCTCCATCTTGCACCACCAGCCCCCCTCCTCATCCACCTCCGCCCCTCGTCCACCGCCATCCAACACCGCCATCCTCGTTCGCCTTCCCTCCGCCCCCTCCCTCATGTTGCCCCTTCGCGTCTCCCCTCCACCACCCCTCCCTCCCTCCTTCGTCTCCGGAACCTCGGAGTTGGCGTCTTACTTTGTTCTCTCCCAGCTCAGCCGCTGCTGCCAGCCTTTCGGAGGCGCTATGGTATGTTGCCCAAAAGAAGACTTCGTCCAGCCTCACCCTCCACCTCCTGCTCCTCCTGTATGCAGTTCCATGGGGATGTAGAGCTCTGGTATTGTAAGGTGTGTGGGTGCTACGGGTAACAGTTGCGGGATGGGCTTGGTCGTACATGTCAGCGCCCCTCCCCCTATAGGCTTGAATATCTGTCTCGTATCTCTCGGGGGCTCTGGCCAAAGGTTCTGAGCAAGACGCATACGTACAGCGGCCCGACGCACGCAGGCGTTTCGGAGGTCGAGGGAGCGTTGCATCACATGTCTTTCTCTTGTCTCCACTGCACTACTGTCAAATTAGCGATTGCCAGCCGCAACCTAATATTTAGCGACGGTGCCACCTTCAAATGACCTGGGCGGGAATTGAAATTCTTGACGCTTCGCGTATCCCCACCACTACTAGTCGCGTCCGCGGCCCGTTCGCGACCTTCCGCCGCTGGCGCTTCCGCCTGCGGCTGTAAAAAAAAAAGTATCCCCACCAGCCCATCCTACACCAGGCACTCGAACGAAGAGCGCCGATGATCGGCAGCTGTTCTCCTCCCCTCCTCCTCCTTCTCCTCCGCCTTCTCCTCCTCCTCTCCTCCTCCTCCCTCCTCCTCCTCCTCCTCCTCCTCCTCCTCCTCCTCCTCCTCCTCCTCCTCCTCCTCCTCCGCCTCTTCCTCCTCCCTGGTGGCGTATTGGAAGTGTCTTCGAACGTTTTGGTGGGCTCTTGGGCCTTGCGGGCGGGCGGGCGGCGCTCCGCCCGCCCGCGCGCAGGGCCCAAGAGGGGGTCCAAGACGTCTCTCGGAGCCATCTTGGAGGAGATCGATCAACGAAGGGGGGGTCCTAAATTTCAGCCCCCCCCCTCAGGAGCCAAGGGGTGTCGAATTTTAGCCCTCCCAGGGGTCGATCTTGGACGCTCTGACCGATCGTGGCCCCCCCTGTCCAGGTCAGTGGGGAGGGGGTAGGGGGAGGGGTAAACCCCTCCCCGAAGGGGAAGAAGGAGGGGTGGAAGAGGAAACGCTCTAAACCACCGACGCCCAGAGGGCTGGTGGGATTAGTGATTGGCGACGGCGCCTGTGGTGAACCACTGGGTGTCATCGTGCCGTAATATCGAGATTCGGCAAGGTGCTGGCATCTTGCCTGTTTATTGCCCAGCTCAAGCTTGTGGCGGCTTCTCAAACAGCTGCATCACAGAGCGAACTGAGCGAAACATACCACAGCAGGAGCATCTTTGACTTCGTCCTATTCCCAATTCCAGCTCCAGTTCCCGATCGAAGTCCCCCCCTCGGGGGCCGGGGTGTCAAACATTGGCCCTCCCAGGGGCCAAAAAAGGCCCTTCCAACCACCCGCGACCCCCCCATAAAGTCCAGGGGATGGGGGTAGGGGGAGGGGCAAACCCCTCCCCGAAGGGGAAGAGAGGCTTTTTGGAAGAGGAAAGAAAGACATCGTTAGACCACCTACGCCCAGAGGGCTGGTGGGATCCCAGCTCAAGCTCCCAGCTCCAGCTCCAGTTCCCTGGCCCCCACGCCTCCACCCGCCTCCACCCGCCGCCCCGTGGTCCCCTGCGCCCCCGCCGCCAGGACATCCCAGGAGAGTGCGCGCCGGCTGCCGTCGGCCCCCTCGGCAGGCCGCCGCTGCGGGGGCGGCAGCTTCGACGAGGCGTCGCCGTGGCCGTCGCCGTCGTCGTCGTTGCTCTCGACGTCGTCGTCGTCGTTCTCGTCCTAGTCGTCGACGTTCTCGTCTCTCGTCGTCGGCGTCGTCGTCGGTCTCGTCGTCGTTCTCGTCGTCGTTCTCGTCGTCGCTCTCGCCTTCGTTCTCGTCGTCGATCTTGTCGTCGTCGTCGTCGTCGTCGTCGTCGTCGTCGTCGTCGTCGTCGTTGTTCTTGTCGTCTTCGTCGTCGTCGTCGTTCTTGTCGTTCTTGTCGACGTCGGCGTCGTCGTTCTCGGCGTCGTCGTCGTCGTCGTCGCTCTCGCCATCGGTGTCGCCGCTCGAGGGCACGTTCTTGGGCGATGCCTCGTGGGCCGCTGGGGGGCCTCGGGAGGCCGCTGGGAACTTCCCTTGGGGTAGGGGCGAGGGACGGAGGAGCAGCAGTTGCACGCAGGATGATGAGCACGGGGGGGGTAGGAGGAAGAGGAGGAGGAGGAGGACGAGGAGGAGGAGGAGGAGGAGGAGGAGGAGCGGAGGAGGAGGAGCAGCAGCAGCATGAGGAGCGGGATGGGGAGGTGGCTGGGGGAGGCTAGAGGAGGTGCAGGAGGAGCGGGCGGCGAGGCGTCGGCCAAAGAGCTCTGCGACGACTGGGCAGAGATTTTCATCGGGGAGGCTCGCGCCAGGACCGTCTCCTCCTCGGGAGGGCCCCATCGGGAGGGCCCATCGGCGCGACGGTAGCTGTGGGGCGCAGGCTGGAAACAACCACCGCGAGACTTGGGCACGGGGGTCTCTGGGGGGCCTCCGAGAGGACGGGGTGTGCGTGTGTGCGTGTGTGCGTGCGTGCGTGCGTGCGTGTGCGTGTGTGCGTGTGTGCGTGTGTGCGCGTGTGCGCGTTTGCGTGTGTACGTGTGTGCGTGTGTGCGTGTGTGCGTGAGTGCGTGTGCGTTTATGTGTGTATGTGTGTATGTGTGTATGTGTATGTGTGTATGTGTGTATGTGTGTATGTGTGTATGTGTGTGTGGGTGTGTGGGTGTGTGCGTGAGCGCGTGCGCGCGTGCGCGCGTGCGCGCGTGTGCGCGTGTGCGCGTGTGTGCGTGTGTGCGTGTGCGCGTGTGCGTGTATGCGTGGGTGCGTGTGTGCGCGTGTGCGCGTGTTTGTGTTTGTGTGCGTGTGCGTGTGCGTGTGCGTGTGCGTGTGTGTGTGTGTGTGTGTGCGAGTGTGTGTATGTGTGTGTGTGCGGTGTGTGGGTGTGTGCGTGCGCGCGTGCGCGCGTGCGCGCGTGTGCGCGTGTGCGCGTGTGCGCGTGTGTGCGTGTGCGCGTGTGTGCGTGTGTGCGTGTGTGCGTGTGTGCGTGTGCGTGTGCGTGTGCGTGTGCGTGTTCGTGTGCGTGTGCGTGTGCCTGCGCCTGTGCCTGTGCCTGTGCCTGTGCCTGTGCCTGTGTGTGTGCGTGCGTGCGTGCGTGCGTGCGTGCGTGCGTGCGTCCGTGCTTGCGTGCGTGTGTGTGTGTGTGTGTGTGCTGTGTGTGCTGTGTGTGATTGTGTTCGTGTGCGTGTTCGTGTGCGTGTGCGTGCGTCCGTGTGTGGATGCCGTGGTCTTGGCCATGCATCTTCTTAGACATCATGCCTTTGTTTTTAGTAGTAGAAGTAGTAGTAGTAGTAGTAGTCGTCGTCGTCGTCGTCGTCGTCGTCGTCGTCGTCGTCGTCGTAGTAGTAGTAGTAGTAGTAGTAGTATTGCCCTTATTCGTATTCGTGTTCTTCGTCTTAGTATTCGTATTGTTATTATTCGCAGTATTAACATTATTAGTCTTCTTATTATTATCCGTTTCCGCCTTCTTCTCATTCTTATTATGATTTTTACCATTTCGGTCAAGGCGCTGAAACAAGGATCGCTGTGGGTTCGGAAGGGGCTCTCTATTCATTGGGTCATTCCATGGTGGTTTCCCCAGCCCTCCTCGTATACCCAGGCGCTTCCAGGGCCAGAACAAAATATTATTCTTCATTTAGCGCTCCCTTTTGCGGCAGCGCCACCGTACTGTTACTAACATCCGCCTTCTTCTGCTTCTTATGTTTCTTATTATGATGCTTGGGATTCGTCTTCTACTTCTTCTTTTCACTATTATCATTAGTGTGATTATTGCTATTCCCTTTGTTTTGCTTGTTTGTTTTCACATCCTTCTCTTCCTCTTCGGCCCCCCACCCCGCGCGCGCGCCCCTGGCTGCAAGGCGCCCCCCCGCCCCCCTCCTCCTTGGGCCCCCCCTCTTCGGCGACCCCCAGGGCCCTGAGCGGACTCCCTTCTCGACGGCCCCGCCCCCTCCTCCTCCTCCTTCTCCTCCTCCTCCTCCTCTTCCTCCTCCTCCCCTTCTCCGCCTCCTCCTCCTCCTCCTCCTCCCTCCTCCTCCTCCTCCTCCTCCCCCTCCTCCCTCTTCTCCGCCTCCTCCTCCTCCTCCTCCTCCTCCTCCTCCTCCTCCTCCCCGCCCCCTCTCCTGCGCCCATTCGAGGCCATCTCGGCGGGGCCGGCGCCGCCCAGCAACGACAAACCCAGGGCTCGAGCTATTCTTCGTATGTTTCGGGCGATCTCGTGGCGCCGCCCAGCAACGACAAACACGGGGCTTCAGCTATCTTTCGTGTGTTTTGGGAGATCTCGTGGCTTTCCGCTTTGGGGGAGCCTTCCAACAGCTGCGCCTCGCCGAGAGCGTTCTAGGGGTGCCCAGATTGTTCCGAACGGCCACCAGAGAGCCGAGTTGTGACCCAAAACCGAATCCAGCGGCGCGCCCGGGGGAAGTCAGAAGGAGGAGGCCTTCTCAGAAGGCAGCGGGGCTTCCCAGAAGCCCAGGCGCTTTCTGAGAAGTCTCCTGGGTGTTCGGGGAAGGCTCAGGAAACTTCTCAGAAGGCTGGGGGACTTCCGAGCCTTCTGAGAAGGCCAGCCCCCCCTCACTTCCCCCCAGGCGTGCCGCCGAAAAGATAACCAATCGATGCTGGACATCCTCCCTTCCTGGCGAGCAGCGCGTGCTAGGGGCGGCGCCGAAAGCGTCGCGAGGGGGGTCCAGCGCAGATCCAAGAAATCCGCGTGGACAGTCGACAACTTATGCTTATGCCGTTTTGTTTTTCCAACCAATGCACTGCGGGCGCCGAAAGTCCACGCAGCAGCAGATATCAGGGACTCCCAAACGGTGTGGTGACCACACCGCGCGGGGAGTCTGTGGGGGTTTGGGGGTTTTCGGGCGTTTCCGTCCGTTCCCGTGGGTTGTCCTGCCTCGGGGCGCCTTCCAACAGCTGCGCCTCGCCGAGGGCGTTCCGGGGGTGCCCAGATCGTCCCGAACGGCCACCGGAGAGCCGAGTTCGTGCCCGAACCCTACACCGTGTGCGGAGTCAGTTGGCATGTGGGGTCCCCGCACGCTTTTTTGGGATTCGGGTCGTTTTTCGAGGACGTGCCGGACGACTGGGGCCTCCAAGGTCCAAACGGGTAACCGGGAGGCCTTGGGGCCTCTTTGACAACGGCGCGCGCACTGTTCGCCAGGGACCTGAGGGTCGTTCGACAGTGGAGTCCCCTCTCAAACGGGGACCTGGGGGCCATTATTCACCACCCACCAAACCACCCCAACCCAACCCGAAGGCTCAGATTTGCCCTCCATTTCCAGTGGGGGGGGGGTCGCGGAACATCGAAAAAACACGTATGGAACCCTTACCCCCCCCCAACCCGAAATTCGGGTCTTCGGGTTGGGTGGGGGTGGTCTGGTAGGGAGTCAATTATACAGTGGGGCCCACTGGCAAACGTGAAACCGGGAGGCCTTGCGGCCCATGTGACAGTGGCGCTCATTGTCACCTGGGGACCGGGGGTCGTTTGACAGTGGGGCCCAAACGGAGACTTGGGGGCCACTTGGCAGTGGGGCCCAGTGGTCATCTCGGAACTGGGTGGCCTTAGGGTCGGGCGAAGAGAGCTATGCACATGCACCGATCCTGACAACGTCCATTTCTTGACCCAGGATCGGTGCATATACCTTCCTGGCCAAGGTAAAAGGGCGTATGCATCGATCCTGGGCTCGAATGGGCCTGGCCAGAATCGGTGTATGTGCATAGTTCTTTTTCCTCTATTGGGGCCCATATGACAGTGGCGCCCACTTCAACGGGGGACCTCGGGGCCATTTGAAAGTGGAGGCCGCTCTCAAACGGGGACCTGGGGGGCATTTGATAGTGGGGCCCACTAACAAGCGTGAAGCCTGGCGGCCTGGCGCCCATGATCGACCGAGGACCCGGGGGCCATTTGACAGTTGGGCCCACTGTCGGACGGGGAACTGGATTGGGGCCTAGTATGAAACCTGGATTCGAGTAGCCTTTGAGCCCATTTGGCAGTCAGTGGCGCCCACTGTCAACTGGGGACTTGGGGGCCATTCGACAGTGGGGTCCACTGTCAAACGAGGACCCGGGGGGTCGGGCGGTATTCTGACCCGGCCCCTCCTTCGACCATCCCCTCTTTTGGGCGTATTTGGCAGTGGGGCCCACTGTCTAACGGACACCCGAAGGGAGCGATGACCCGGGCCCCCCCCCGACCCACCCCTCAAGGAGCCCCCCGGTAGACACCCGCGGGACCGAACCCCTTGGCAGGGACGGGCTTCCCTTCGCCTTAACTACGACGTTCTTCAACTTCCGTGTTCCTTAATTTCCTCGGGACTGGCGGCGACGACAACAATCGACGACGACGACACAGACGACGACTCAAACAGGAAAACGTCACATTTGTGCCGAGGGGTCGGCGGACTGGTAGTAGTGGTGGTGGTAGTGGTGGTGGTGGTGGTAGTAGTAGTGGTCGTAGTCGTAGTCGGTACTGTAGTAGTAGTGGTGGTAGGTAGTGGTGGTGGTGGTGGTAGTAGTAGTGTAATAGTCGTAGTCGTAGTCGTAGTCGTAGTCGTAGTAGTAGTAGTAGTAGTAGTAGTAGTAGTAGTAGTAGTAGTAGTAGTAGTTGTTGTAGTAGTAGTAGTAGTAGTAGTAGTAGTAGTAGTAGAAGTAGTAGTAGTGGTAGTAGTGGTAGTAGCTGTAGTAGTAGTAGTAGTAGTAGTAGTAGTAGTAGTCGTAGTAGTAGTAGTAGTAGCAGTAGTAGTAGTAGTAGTAGTCGTAGTAGTAGTAGTAGTAGTAGTGGTAGTCGTAGTAGTAGTAGTAGTCGTAGTAGTAGTAGTAGTAGTAGTAAGTAGTAGTAGTAGTAGTAGTAGTAGTAGTAGTAGTAGTAGTAGTAGTAGTAGTAGTAGTAGTAGTAGTAGTAGTAGTAGTAGTAGTAGTAGTAGTAGTAGTAGTAGTAGTAGTAGTAGGTAGCAGTAGTAGTGTCGTAGTAGTAGTAGTAGTAGTAGTAGTAGTAGTAGTAGTAGTAGTAGTAGTAGTAGTAGTAGTAGTAGTAGTAGTAGTAGTAGTAGTAGTAGTAGTAGTAGTAGCATTAAGAGTAGCAGATGTAGTCGTAGCAGTAGTAGTAGTAGTACGCTTAGTAGTAGTAGTAGTAGTAGTAGTAGTAGTAGTCGTAGTATTGGTAGTAGTGGTCGTAGCAGTAGTAGTAGTAGTCGTCGTAGTAGTAGTAGTCGTCGTAGTAGTAGTAGTAGTAGTAGTAGTAGTAGCAGTAGTAGCAGTAGTAGTAGTAGTCGCCGTAGCAGCAGCAGCAGCAGTAGGAGTAGTAGTAGTAGTAGTAGTAG